ACCACAAGGTGTGGTAGGCAAGGACAATGTCATTAAAGGACGTGTGTAGTCAGAAGGTTAAATCTCTGATGGTGGCTGCTACATTTTTGGCATCATGTCCTAGTGCCAGAATAATTGAAGGGGGAAACATCAAAATATTTTCTAGCCAAGTTAGTCTCTTTCTTATTGGACAATCAGAAAATCAAAAGCTTTTCAAGAAGTCTCAAGAGGTAGACTGTGAATCAGTGTCAGTGACAGGAACTCTGTCCCATGTCATTGCTGGCTGGAAGGTGGCTAGGGACCGTGGTTCAATCTGCCACCTCCAATGCTGAAAGATTACTCTGTTATTAACATTTTGGTGGATGTTTTTCTGGGTTCCTCTTGCTTCTCTGTCTCTTTTCTGCATGTATGTGTAGACACTCTCAATTGTGTCTAATTGGGATCATGCTCTGTGCTAGCCTCTTGCTCTGCATTTTTTGTTCAGTGTGCCCTGAGCTCTTTTCCATGGCAACATAAGCCTCTATCACAGTTACCTTACAGAGTAGTTCCTCGTATGAAGGGATCATAATTTATTCAGACAGTCCTCTACTGATGGACATTCAAGTGGAAGTTTCTATATTTTTTGAAATAGGAAAAATGATAGTTTTGTGTATTTAGAAATGTTTATTTTTGAATCCTCATTTGTGTTAAACTATGTACTTCTGAAAATTAGCAATAATTTTAAATTTCTTAGGTGCTGTTCTGTAAACTGTAGGTAGGTTTTTTGATCATTGGCTTATCAAGAGTTTTTAAAGTCAGAGTTTTAACATGCGCAGCTTTGAAAATGCCATTGTTGTAAATATTGCCAGCTGCTATTGAAAAGAGCTCCTTGAATTTGTTCCTGAGAGGGGGCATTTTCATCACATCCCAAGCAGAGCAGTGGCAAGCAGTGGTTTCCCTTGTGCACAAGTGTGTAGCCTCTTTTGTTTAGCTCTCTCATTTGTTTAAAAATTTTAACTTTGAATTTTGAAGGATGAATGTGATTTTTTTCA